ACTTTACTTAAGAATAACTGCCTTTCATTACAGTGCAGCAGGTGTTTCATTGCAATTAGAATGGCACACAAAACACACCTCCTGGCTACAATGCGATTGACCGCACTGCAAGGTACGGCAATACCGTGTGTTGCTTTGCAAAAGAAAAAAGCAGTGCATGCACGATTTTTTCAATTGTACCATAACGCATGGTATGTGCTAAATACCTTCCCCCCGTCCCCCCCCCCCTCACACACCAGAGCAGGGAGGTGCAGGAGAGGATGGAGGACAGGGTAAAGCTGGGGGTGGAAAGACTGGCACAAATGAGCGCAGGTTAGTGATCGGTCCGTGTGCGGAGCGCAGGTTGGACTGCCACTAGACCAAGGGTCTAGTATAAAGCTAGCCATGCACTATAAAAGTTTTTTTTTTTATAAAGAACTTTCATATGAAAGAACTTTCTTTTGACTTTCCATTAGTTGATGAGGTCAAATCAATGATTGATTGACAGTAGTGACGAAAAAATTTGATATTCAATATTCGTCAAGTGTCCGGTGGCATTATCAGGTGGTAAAGAAAGACCTTTTGTTGGGAAAACTACTAGTGTATGGCCAGCTTTAGGTCAGGTTCACACCATTCTCCGGACCAGATCTGGAACACAGTGCATTGCGTTTTGCTGCATTTTTTTTTAAGCTTAAAATGTGCTTACAAGTGCGTTCCAGTGTGTTTGTATGTATTTCCAATGCGGTCTAGTGCATTGCCGACCAGAGAAAATGAGATTGATCCTATCCGGAACAGACTGCGCTGGTGTGAACATAGCCATGAAATACTATAGGGATACATTGGAATGCTTTATTGGTCCGAGAACAAACTGTTCTGGTCTGGACATGATCCGGATTTGGTGTGAACAAGCCCTCAGGGAACAAGGCTGTCCAAATTCAGTTTACCAATTGCAGCATTGATATATCATGTAAATATATTACCTTGGCCTTTTCATTGCACTTTTAGTACATGCGTCTATAAATACATAAGCCCAGTTTATATCAGTTGCCTCCGAGTCAAACGGTCCTCTGGCAACCCCTAATAGCAGTTGTGAAGCTTCAAAAATCCATGTTACTTTCCCTTTCTTCATCCTTCCTTTCCCCAATGGCTGCAATTTTTAATTAAAATAAATAACGTTCTAGCCCATTGGGAAAGGTGGGAATTCCCATGGCAGGCATTCTAAACCGGCATACCTGTAAAAGAAGACTGCAAATACTTACCTTTCCTGATGCAATGTCACTCCGTTTACAGCGATCAGTGGTTCCTCCTCAACATCACTCTTTCAGCAGATGGTCCATCTGGGTAATACTGCACATCACTCACACATTATGTGAACGTCATATAGTGAAGAATAAAGACCGCCCACTACCAAAAGAGAAGAGAAACGATCTGCAATGCCACCACATTGGCAAGAAGACCCTTTGAAAATAGCTGGAAGAACTCCAGGAAGATTTATGCCCTGCTCACACTTGTGAAAGGGGACGATTGGGTGACTTTCATGGACTGCTCTGCGAGATTCAGGCAAACAGCTGCAGGTGGGATGCTCCAATATTTGTGTCCATGTGCGATTGTGGGCAGGTAAATGCAAATGGCTGCAACTGTTTGCATGAGCCTCACGGTGCAGTTCATGAGATTCACCCAATGGGCTCCACCGGCCAGTGTGAATGGGGCCTTAAAGTGTAGTTCCACTTTTACAGTCAAATTTGAGAAAACCCCTCACTCTAGGTTTGTTGTGTTCCTATTCACACAGCATACCTGACAATTATTATTTACACAAATTTCTTACCTTTTAGATGTTTCTTAAGACCCCGTTCACATTGAGCGATTTATCGCGCGGCAAATTACCGCGCGATATCGCGCTCCAATGCAATCCAATGGGGCAAAGGGTCCTGCTGTAGCGGGTCGTGTGTCGCTACAGCAGGACCCTTTTTTGAGCGGATTTAGCCGCAATGCAAGCTTGAACGCGACATCGCGCGGCAAATCTCGCGATGTCGCGCAATATGCAAATCGCGCGACAAACGCGCAATTTGCATATCGCGCAGTGGGAACGGGGCCTTAGTGAAGATCCTTGTGCAGATTCCAGGCTACTCTGAGCACTGTGTCCGTCTTTCACTTTCAGACTGAGCTTCCTCTCATTAACATACAACACTTCTAAGTCTTTAATCATTTCTGCACATACTGTGTTCAGATTTACATTACAACTGATAATGAAATCTGCCAGCACAGTACAGGCAGGGTTAAATAGAGTAAACAACTTCCCACAGCCCCCTCCCTACCATTACATTAGGTGTGAGCTAGGTGCGATTTTAAGCAAGTATAAAAGGGCCTAAAATTTAAATATTATGAAAGCTATGCAATGGGGGGCGGGGCCATCAGGTAAGTAAAACAGCTTTGCCTCTAGTCATAAAGGAGCAGTTAACCCTTGCAGTGCAGGGTAGTTCCACAGTAAGGGTAGTTTTTTTTTAATGCACATACATTCGTTAAATATAAGTTACAGTAAACTATTAATGTATATGTATAAAGTGATGACAATTTACACAGCGCACAGTCTCATCAGTCCCTGCCCTCAAGGAGCTTACAATAAAAAGGTCCCTATTACACATGCATACATATGAGGGCCAATTTACACAGGAGCCAATTAACCTGCCAGCATGTCTTTGGAGTGTGGGAGGAAACTCACACAAGCTGTGTTTAATTTCTCTGCTACATCTTTAAAAAAGGAAGTGAAACAAAGATCAGAGTCCAACATTATATATAATTAATGTGCAAATATTGAACAATCTTGCTAAATCTTCTAAGACCGGAGCAGATTGATTGTAGCCAACCACAGGTGACCGTGTGGCAGGTATGGAATCCATTCATTAACCAATAACAAGGATGATGATGTGGCTGTATCCTCCTCACTATTAGCTCAGCCACCCAAAAACCAACATTGTCACAGCTCTGACTCTGGCACACGCCTGAACCCAGAATGAGACGAGGGCTGCCGGGGGTGACCCCACAAACTATTTCAGCCATCTGCAGCTGACATGTAATAACGGCATCCCATGGATCACCACGCCTTACAGCCGGCTGCCACGTCAGATCCACACACACAGTCCAGAGCTTATTGCTTAGTGTACACACTGATTCATTGACTTCCAGCACAGAGTGATGAGCGTGCACAATAACACACAGCGTGGGGACAGCACTGTCTGTGCGCTACTGTATAACTCCCCGACATTCAGCATCGCTCAGCGTAATTAATTATTAATATCAAGATCAGGATTGGCCCACACAAGTGACCTTCGCCCCGGCAATATAAAACACACAAGACTACCGACACTCAAATCAGCAATCAGGAGGTTAAAGTGAGCATGACGAATTTACTGCCGGTGTTTATATAGCGCCAACAATGTATGCAGCGCTGTACATAACACGCCATCACATCACCCCCTGAGCTTACAATCTAAAGCTGACCTATTAAAGTTAATAGATTCAAATTGGTGATCGATTTTGACCAAAGTGACAGAAAATAGGGAGCAGGATGGAAAAAAAATTTCTACCAAAATTCTAACAGGAAATGTGGTTTTCGTTCGGGAAGCTCCATTCATTCCAAAAATCAAATGGAATTTGAAAGACATTCAAGTCTCTGATAAAAAAAATTTCACATGAACATTCATACAAAAATTTGGGATTTGAACCAGGGACTCCAGTGAAGCAAGCACAAACTACTGGCACTATATAAATCCCAAATAATAACGTATTATTAATACAGCCAGAAATGGTGAGCGTGCATAAAATGTATAAGCATGCTTATTCTATGTGCATGAACAGAGAGCAGGGGAGGACAACTCCAGCCCTCCAGCTGTGCTTTAACTACAAATCCCAGCATGCATCTGCCTCTGCCTGTAACTGTCAGCCTTGCAATGCCTCATGGGACTTGTAGTTCCACAACAGCTGGAGTTGCCCACCCATGAGATAGAGCACTCTATGTGCATATTATATTGCATGCTTTCCTGAAACAATGGTGGCAATTTACTAAAGGAGGAGGCGGATCACTTTTAGTGAATTAGGTGAAGTTTCGCCCATTCAAGTGCAAGGAAATAAGTTTGTTTTTTTCTCCTAGCACATGATTGGTCCATTTACAGTGAACACAGCTTCGTCTTTGCTAAGTGATCAGCTTCTTTACTGAAAGAACCTGGATGAGCAGTGTGACACATCCATAGACACTAGCTGCTAGAAATAGTGATGACATCACTGGTCCTACATTGAAAAGTGGACTACAAGTCCCAGCAAAGGAGCATGATGTCCAGCTCTGCAACAGGCAAAGCCATGCAGCCGATCAGTGAATAAGATGGCATGTTATAAAGGCCAACGTGAACTTTCATGGGGTTGCTGGTCTCAATAAGGCTTGTGCAGGCTCTTGAAGTACTCGCTGATCCCAGTGGGAAAAAGGAAGGAAGAGTCATCAAAGGTCCCTGCAGTCCTCCAAAGACTGATCAGTATATGCTCACTGGGATCTCCGGATACTTCAAGAGCCCATCCAGGCATGGACCAGGTCATGGAGGCAGAACGTTGTACCCTCGTCCAGGCTGTCTATGCCATAGGTGCGGTGTAAAGTTTCCCATCGTGCCTCTTCCAGGGCAGCCACTTACCGGCACAGGATCGGCTCTTCCAGATCTTCAGCAGCAGGATGATGATGGCTGCAAGATGGGATAAGTCCCCGGTTAATCTGAAGATGTTCATGGTGTCAGGAGAGGTGGGTGAGCAGGGTACTACGGTGTCCGGGGGGAAGAAGAGAGGGCACAGGTGACCCGGGGCCGCGTAGACTGCCTCTGACACTGCAGCCACTCACTTCAATCCGTTAAAATGGCGAGATCCGAGCTACGTGGCCCGGGGACGTGGCCTAACTGCAGCGTGCGCAGTGCACGCCGGGAGACAGCGCTCAGGCACAATGACGCGACGCAATCCTACCTCAAGCCACGCCCCGTCCACCGGCTTCGCCAGGGCTGCAGCCACGCCCCTTAAAGTCGTCCTAGAATATTCGTCAGGACTTCCAGCCTGAGACCCCCCTTAGATGATGGAATAAACATTCCAGCAAGTTCTATGAGGGACGGTCCTAGGATAGTAAGTCATACACTCATTTATTCAATGATATAATCACTTCTCTTCATTAAAGGAATAGTCCACCTTTCCAAAAACATTAATTCATGCACATTAATGAAAGGAGAAATGTGCATTTATATTCATTTCTTGCTTTGGGGCATGCAAAGCATTGCAACTGTACTCAGGCTCCTGTTGACTATTCCACCAGCCTAGGTCTGTATGGAGGAATGGCGCTTCAGTGGGGCTGGAGGAAGTATTAAAGGGATACAAGTGTGGTGACAACATTGCAATTGTGTTCCGCTGAGATCTACGAGGCCCTCTGCCACAGTGGCACATGGGAATTGTAGTTGTTTTCATTTACTGATCCTGCGACTGGAAGGGCTTTGTAGGTGGAGCCATGCATATCCGCGCCACATTCAAATTAATACAGACTCCTACTGAGAGATGAACCTCATCACTCAGGTGAATGAGTGTGGGGGGTTGGGGACTGTGACCATGTTAATGTGACACCCTAAATATGGGTGAAATATGGAGTAACATGGTCAAAAAGGTGCAATAAGCTTTTATACAAAAGATAGTATAAAGGACAAGTGACGTTTAATTGTATTCCTTCACAGTGGAGGAATTTGAGGGGTGGGCAAACGCTTGCCCTCCATCTGTTGTGGGACTACAAATCCCACAAGGCATGCCAAGATATTCTCACTGCCACAGGCCGTATGTAAACTCCAATCATAAATGTCTCTTATTTGCTTCCTTTTCATCTGTACAAATATACTATTCAAAGGATGTTGTTGCCTCTATTCAATAGCTGCAAAAGATACCTATTGATCCTGCCAGAAATCTTGTGAGCTGATAACTTCCTCTGCTCTCTGCCTGTGCTGCAATTTTATCAACAGGGGAAAGTAAAGGAAAAAAACTACCACAAAACTAGCCACCACACCGAAGACCTGGTAAGCTGCCATATAATGGGGGGTTTTGCCTTTGGGTTTAGAATGCGCTGAGTGTATTTCATAAAACTGTCCTCTTGTCCTAAATAGTAATGTAGGATGTGGGCATCAATCTTAATTAGAGAGATATTCCAGCTATAAACTAATGATCACATGTCCCGAACAGTGAAATGAAAGCCTACTGTGATTTCACAAGCTTTTGCTTAATAATAATGTGTCATCATTCACTCATCTATCCATCTGTATAGCCCTCTATCTTTCTATACATCCATTCATCCATCTATCCATCCATGCATCCACCAATGCATCTATCTATCTATCTATCTATCTATCTATCTATCTAATCTATCAACCCATCCATCTATCCATGCATGCATGAATCCATCCATCCATTATTCCATCCATCTATCCATGCATGAATCCATCCATCCATTATTCCATCCATCCATCGATTCATCCATTTGTTCCTTCTGGCAATACTGTCATTGTGCCTGTCAGTCTTTTTCTCTGTTTATTATGGTGAAGATGCAAATAGAAACCCTTCTCACCTTCTCAAATTCCCCCCACTAGGAATGAATAAATACAGCTGCACAAACGTTACGTTCTCCAATTGACAAACTGACTGTGACAGTGGAACAGCAACATTTGACTTGATGGTCCTAGCAGCTGTCCTTTCAATCATTCTTGGTACAGTAGCAGGCATACTAACCAACGGGCCCCTGTAAAAGAACAATACCCATCCACCATACTCCCCAGTATCCATGCTATAAGTGAGATCTGAAATCTTAACCCACCCTTCCCCCCACTATCCATGCTACCAGTGAGATCTGAAATCTTACCCACCCTACCCCCCACTATCCATGCTTCCAGTGAGATCTGAAATCTTACCCACCCTACCCCCCACTATCCATGCTACCAGTGAGATCTGAAATCTTACCCACCCTACCCCCCACTATCCATGCTCCCAGTGAGATATGAAATCTTGCCCACCCTACCCCCCACTATCCATGCTACCAGTGAGATATGAAATCTTACCCACCCTACCCCCCACTATCCATGTGAGATCTGAATATCGTATACCCACCATACTCCTCTGTATCCATGTTACCAGTGAGATCTGAATATCGTATACCCATCATACTCCCCAATATCCATGTTACCAGTGAGATCTGACTATTGTATACCCACCATACTCCTCTGTATCCATGCTACCAGTGAGATCTGAATATCGTATACACATCATACTCCTCTGTATCCATGCTACCAGTGAGATCTGAATATCGTATACACATCATACTCCTCTGTATCCATGCTACCAGTGAGATCTGGATATCGTATACACATCATACTCCTCTGTATCCATGCTACCAGTGAGATCTGGATATCGTATACACATCATACTCCCCAATATCCATGTTGCCAGTGAGATCTGAATATTGTATACCCATCATACTCCTCTGTATCCATGTTACCAGTGAGATCTGAATATTGTATACCCATCATACTCCCCAATATCCATGTTACCAGTGAAATCTGAATATTGTATACCCACCATACTCCCCTGTATCCATGCTACCAGTGAGATCTGAATATTGTATACCCACCATACTCCCCTGTATCTATGCTACCAGTGAGATCTGCAATCCAGCTCTATCTACCTGCTGTGTTCATTATTAGTGAGCTAGTATTTTAATTTGTTTTAGATAGAGAGGTAAAGAGTTAAGCACGACCATACACTGCTTGAATTTTGGACGAGTCCTGGTGACTCGAACAGTGTGTGGCCCCATCGGTACCTCTCCAATAAGAGGGTCTAAAATTCTTGGCCAAGCAGTGACAGCAGCCAATCAGCTCGAGTCACACAGTGGCACACCTACCACTGTCAGAATATATTAGCTCAGCAGGGGGATTCCCCCATCCATGGATAAAACAAGCATAGATAGGGTAATGTAGCATTCCTTCTTGTCCAGCCCACGGGGAAAAGTGTATGGCCACCTTTACAAAGTCCCTCAAGTTTTATTGCTCTCGATGACTGTAATGGATTGACTGAAGGGAAGCTGCCAGCACACTTTAAGAAGCACAAATCAAATATAAAGGAAATGCCTTATGTCTCTGTGATTGTGACAGTGCCATTACTGCTTCGAGCACCCATTGATGATATATCCATATAGTGTGTTGGGTGGATCTACTGTCTAATGAAAACATTTCACCTCACTTGCTGTCCCTGTGATACCAGAAAAGCTAAAACATTAAACTGTATGTCAAGGCAAAATTAAAAAAAGACATATTCAGTACATCTCTACAATACCTGAATGTTTCTCCATATTTTATCCCTTTAAACACGCTGCAAGTACAGAAAAATAACTGTTGATGTGTCAGAAATATAATGTGCTCATACCTTTCTGTTTGAGCTGACAGAACAGTGTCTACTGAGCTTTGAAATCCTAAGCACGTGGTGTCAGCCCTGCATATTTTATTTCAGATGGATTAGAGGACACGCCCACTCCTTATATTCCCGCCCCCCATCTTCGTAATAACTACTCTTTGTGCACAAGGAGTTTTCAGCTCACAATATTTATGGCAGAATCAACAGTTATTTCTTTGCACTTATTCAACAGATATAACAAACCGCTTTTAACCCCTTCGTGACTGACGACGTACAGTGTACGTCGCCAGCATCGGGGCTGTTTAAACAGAATATTTAGCTGGCCTCTAGACAGATGGGTAAGACGCACATTAATGCAGCTCTGTAATCAGTAATACATCACTCAATGTATTTTTCAAATGGAAGCAGCATAAGTAATTTAATGGAAGCAGCATAAGTAATGTAATGGAAAGAGTATAAGTAAATTTACCTGGATCAATCTCTTGCAGTCCCTGTACAGATGGTTCGTGTGTGAGAATAAGAAGGAGAAATGGGCATTTATTCATTTTTTGCTTTGGGGCGGCAAAGAACTGCAACTGTGCTCAGGCTCCTTCTGACTATTCCACCAGCCCCGAGGTGTGTTTAGTTCCTTAGCCAAGCGCTAAATAGCTGTTCTGCAGCACTTCAGTTCGCAGCAGCTTCGCTGAACGCTTCAGCTGCACACTGTGTTTTAACAGCACAGATTTCCCTCGCTCAGCTGATTATAGCGGCCATTCAGAGGACACCTATTATAGCGGCCATTCAGAGGACACCTAGTATTTTTCTCAGTTAATATTAGGTGTTGTCTGATTGGACAAGGGTGGTGATGTCATGGCACTGTCCCTCGTCCACTCATACATTATACATATTAGTGATGCACCGATACCTTTTCTTAAAATATTGAATACGAGTACCGATATTTTTTTTTGGTACTCGTCGAAACCGAATACCGATACTGACATCCTGAGTTAGCGTGGGCCTGGCTAATAAGTAGTGATGGGCTCGGGCGTGTTTGCAGCTCCACGTGCCGAGCCCGCCAGGAAGCTGACAGCGCCGCAGCGCCAATCTCAGGTACTGAGACATTATCCCGGTCCGCAGCTGCAGAGATCGGGATATGTCTAAGTGCCTGTGATATGTGAAGCCGGCTTCCTAGCCAATCAGGAAGGCGTGTCATGACTTGCTCCCCAGCTTCCGGATTGTCTAAGAAGTCGGGAGATGGGTCATGACATGTGTAGGTATCGATGCATCCCTAATACATATGTATGTACAAACCACTATACATTTGCTTTAATTACTGGCTTGTTATTTTTTTATTTTAGGATTTTATTAAAGAGAGGCTGCTTTAGAAGAGGCTAGGTTTATTTATTTGTCTATTGATTTATTTTGATATTGTTTTGGGCAGAACGCAGACCTTAAACATGATTACGTTGGACATAGTAAGAAGGTAGTAATTTCTTTGAGCCCATAAGCTCTTGGTTCCACATGTATGGTTACTGATGATGTGTCCTTACAACTCAT